TTTATTTCCAATAACAAAAATATATGTAAAAATTACACATCGCAAAGCTTTGGATTCAAGCAAGCAGATTTATTCAATTCTATATAGAAAACCTAGTGTAAGAAAGTCCTTGAGCTGATGTAAAAAAATGTTTTAATTTCAAAAGAATTGTTAGTTATTTTTTTAAGTCGATGAGGTTCTAGTTTCCCATGCATCTGTGCGAAAAAACGTGCATTCAAACATGAGTTGGCATCTTGAAGTGTATTCCCATATTGAACGCTGAAGTATCCTTTGCGCCTCATAATATTTTAAATTGAAATTTTAAATGGATAAAGGAATCAAAACTATTAATTTTGATGAAGTTTTATTCAATATTCGTCTTCGAACACATAGAAGAGGTGTTATTGCATTGCTATGTAACACCGCAAAACGTCCGTACCGCAAAACGTACGTATATGAACGTTTTGCGGCGCATATCGTCCACATTTTTCTGACGTACATTTTGCGGCAAAAAGGCATGGTCCTGCCGCATAACGTCCATATTTTAAAGTTTATATAATTTTCGTTAATTTTGACCAGTTATTATCAGGTGTTATTGAGTGTTAATTTTAGTTCACCTGAGTATGCGCCTGTCTGTCTGTCCGTCCAAATTTAGCTTGTAACAACTCTAGCATCCACATACCCTAAGCAATATGTCCAGAGTTATCTGCCCTTGAATTACAATATCTGTTATATTTCACATTGTTACCACTCCAACGCTTTCATTTCTTCTTCAATCTTGACAATTTTCAACAGAATATCTATGACCATAAAAATCTCATCAAAGTTAGATTATAGGCTAAATCTAACAAAAAAAAAACAACAAAAAACGCACTTTATTTCACCTTGTTAGTGCTTTCGTTTCTTCTCCATTCTTAATTTTTTTATACAGAATATGTATAACAATAAGTCTCGATTAAGTTCATTTATGAGCTAAAACGACTGAATATGTCAAGAGTTATTTGCCTTTGAATAATAAAAATAAAGACATATTTTAAAGTCAAATTATTTAGTTGTGATAAAACTGCAATTTCTTTGATGTCATTCATACATTTATGACCGGACGGACATCGTGAATAGTTCAACTATAATATTGACCTTGAAATGACCTTGACCTCAAGGTCACTTTTGAATTTTGCTTAAATTACCACATCTTTCTCATTTACAGATATAAAGATATTGATGATGATTTCAGACGTAGAATTGAGTACTGATATCAGTTACCCAGATTCTGACCAAGTACATGAAATGTACTTGCTTTTAATTTGTAAAATTCAATGTTATCTACCCTTGTCATCTGGAGCCTTTATAGACAGGTGGGCGATATAAAGCGACCATGACCTTTTGCTTTGTTCAAATATAAAATTACATTGTTCAATTATAAAATTACATTATGGCATTCAAACAAAACGATTTACACTCTTGCTCAAATATGACTAGGCGGCTAAAGCCCCTCCCCCATCACAACAATAGCTCGCACACTCAGATATGACAAGGCGGCTAAAATCTCCCTCCCTCCTCGATAAAAGCTCTCTCTCTCTCTCTCTCTCTCTCTCTCTCTCTCTCTCTCTCTCTCTCTCTCTCTCTCTCTCTCTCTCTCTCTCTCTCTCTCTCTCAAATATGACTAGGCGGCTAAAAGCAACCTCATCCCCACCACCGCCCCCGCGACAAAAGCTCTCTTGCTCAATTATGACTAGGCGACTTAAAGATCCCATCTTCATGACAATATAGCTCTCTCGCTCAAATATGACTACGCTGTCAAAAGCCCTCATTCATCCCCTGTAAAAATGAACGATAGAACCAAACCTCCATAGTCAACAAGAACACAAAAAATCATCCCCACTTCTTGATGCAATTATATGAAATGTTTTTGTCCAAAGCAAAGCTTAATTTTAATATTTTTGTCATTCACTTAGTCAAATCTCCGGTTCGTCCGTCCGTATAGCCGTCCTTTTCTGAATGTCTATAAGATTACATTTATTTCAATATCATCGTTTTTATATCTCTGCTGCTGCTGCTGCTTGGTTTCATTTCAAAAAAAAATCTATACGAAAAACATCCTCGGTTAAAGCATATTTCTTTTTTTTTTAAATAAAAAAAAGTCAGAATATATAGGATCACAAAAATATGGCACTTTAATGTTTATTTCTTCATATCTTTACCTGAAACTATATGAAAGTGACAGAACCAATAAAAATATATATTAATACAGAAAAAATGGACGATATGCGGCGCAAAGGCACACTCTCGCCGCAAAACGTACCAAGTACGATATGCACTTAAAACGTCCACATGTGTACGATATGCGCCGCAAAACGTCCACACGCGTACGTTTTGCGGTACGAACGTTTTGCAGTGTTACATTGCTATGCTAACTGAAACATGTGTCAGGTACCAGTCCGATTTGCAAAACTTTTTAAGTCCATCAAGCCCGTCCAAAAGATATTATCCTTTATATTGGCAGCAACAGCTATTTTTTTCTCCATGATGCATATATCAGGATAACAGTCTCATTGGCCTCCCGTTTATCAAAATAGTATACATGTATATCACAAAAAAACATTTATGTATATATTTAGTTAGAACCATTCAAATAATTACTGAATTAAAAATTAACAGGTCACCTTTAAGCAAGTTAAAACCTCTAATGACAAGAATAGTCGTTTCTCTCAGTGCCTAAAAGGGCAGTTTGACCCTCATTTAGTATAGATACATACGTACGTAGTACAATACTTGCATGCATGCATGCATGCATGCATGCCTGCCTGCCTGCCTGCCTGCCTGCCTGTCTGCTTACCTACCTACCTACCTACCAACCTACCTACATACATACATACTGGATATGTGGGATGCAAGAACAATGTTAAAAGAAGAAAAAATGTCAGCGCTTCTGGGGTTTGAACCAATGGCCCTAATTTACAATGCAGTTGACAGTAATTTTATCCTACTTGGATACTCTTAATAGTCGAGGTTATACATTAGGATGGTCATTCCTTAAAGCAGCTTATTAAAAACCCTGAAATAAATTTTCTTTTATAAACATAGGATATTTTTCTAAATAAGGAGCTTTAAAATAAAAAAAAAGTGTAGCTAAATTGAACGTCAAATTTTACATAAAAATTATCATTTTCTTTCCATTTTTCAAACATTTGTCGGCGACGCCATGTTCCAAAACGGGCTTTGGTGGTCAAGTCGTACAAAAAATAGGGAAAACTCTTGGAATACATTCAACGCAATCTAATCAACTTTTTACATGCCAATTTTTAAAGACGCTACTCGAAAGTTCGCAAAGTGTCGCGTCCTACCTTAATACTAAAAATGCTAATATTTTGTATACCGGAAGCAACGGACGTTAAACGTGATAAATCACGGAATTAAACAATTTATTAATATTTATTTTAATCATTTTTAGTGCATGGGTTTGACATTGCAACACAAGCAACACCCTTCAAAAGTCAAGTTTTGGTCTTGTTTCAAAGTCATTTTATTCGGGTGATAAGCATATTACATGTTTAATCATTTATTAGAATCATTTGAAACGCTAATTTGGTTATGTGCCATCCGATTAATTTAATGTAGCAGATGCTATCTTATACGGAAAAATATCATTTTTGAGGCTTAAAGAAAATTTTTAGAGGAAGACGGGAAATACATAATTACATATATCAAAAAGTAACAAAGAGTAGTTGGAATATTTATAGACAGTTTAACTGACTTTTTTAACCTCCTTTTTATATCATACTTTAAAAAAACCCATTAAATATAGCTCCTTGTTTGCATAATTTATACAGTTTGTAACATTATCTTCACATAAAGGTTTTGATTTATAAACCTTAAAGTTAAATATTTGTATTTTAGTGTTTTTTATTATATTAACTTCCTTCCTAGGTTAATTCAATGACTCGCTGTAAACGTGACGGAGCTATGTCATTTATATATGAAATATGAGATAAATCTGATAAAGTCTTCCCCTTTTATTCTTTTATTTAAAATGGTTGGCCATTTCTAGGGATTACTAGGTCAGCGACTGTCCTATTTACCTAAATCTCAACAATGTTAATTGGTTCATTCGCGTGCGCAACAAATCTACTCCTATTTTTTTTTACTGTATAATTTGAAGAGGTTCACTAGTTCAATGTACTTACGTGTGGATATATCACTGTACGGGAACTGCTCTGCGGTTTCTCGGATAAGTTTGTGGTATCGCGGGATACTTGCGTGCTATCAACAAATTCACTTTTAATACCAGTGTTAGTTTATAAGATATCTGTCACAGTAAGGAATGATTATATACCTTTACAAACTATAAACATTCGATTTAAAACTCAAATAACAGTCATTTATAAACCAATAAAGTTATAACATGTTGTGCTTAATAGGGGATTTAAACTTTTGTTCATAATATCTTTTTTATGTTGCGGTCCAGATCGGCGGCCCATGGGCGGGTTCTCAAGGGACGGATATTCCGATCTGAATCTCAATGATATGTCAGATTTTTTTCTTGCATATTCCATCATATTTTCAAATCTTTAGCTAAATAAAACAATTTCCATTGAAATGTATATCATTACACCCGTAACAATTTTCTTACAACAGCGTATGAAATTACAACGTCATTCATAAAGGCGAAATAACGTCATCCTAGGCATACAGTACCATTGAATAGCACGCAACCCCATGCCAGATGAAATTTCCGGCATGGGTAGAGCTAATGGAAACACCAGCAAGAATTAAATCTCATGATTAATTGTTAAATATGAACTATTATAAAACAAAGAAAATTTAGACATCTTCCTTTTCTTTTTTAAAAGTACCACTTATCATCTAAAACCAGTCAACAAGCTTAACTGTAAACATTTTATAAACGGATGAGTCATCGTGAATTGCTCTCATTTACTGTTCTCGTAGTACATATTCCTAACAGTGTTTGTAGAGAATATCGACATTACAAAAAGGTGTCAAGGTTAGGTTACGTTGTCCCGAAGTTTTTCTCAATGAAAAACTAAATAACGTCATCAGAAGCTGTACATTCAACTCGCCGTTCACTATAAAATGAAGACAGCTTTTTCTAACTTCAGCATTGTGCTTCAAATGCTTTAACTGATAGCTCGACTTAAGTAACATTAATAGATAACAAAATAAAAATATTTTACTTAATATCACTTCGGTGTTTTCAATAAAACATGGACGCGTTAAGTGTACTTATTGTGACCGTTATAATCTTAGTTGTGGCATGGGTTCGATCACTGCAGCGGAAAGAAATGCCGGAAGGTCTACCGCCGGGATCAATGGGGTTTCCATTAATAGGGGATTCCATAGAATTCGTTAAGAAAAAGGTAAGTTTTTTTTTCTTTCTTATTTGTTTTTTACGATTCTGAAATTTGAAAAAAAACAAAAAACAGAATTTGATAATTTGCGTGAAAATGTTGCTATAATGCTGATTAATGATAATGATAAAATGATAATGATAAAATGATAATGATAAAATGATAATGATAAAATGGAAACTATCATTGTGAAAATACATTTTTATGGACAGAGAAGAACAAATAATATATAAAAAAATATATATATTTATGCATGCACATGTTGTCCGCTCAAGTACTAGATTTATAATTATGTCTGGTCAAGTAATGAATATATTGATGTCTGATCAAGAAGTAAATGTATTTATTTCTGCTCAGGTTATTGATATATTTATGTCTGCTAAAGTAATAAATATTTAGTGATACACAATAAATAAAAAATATATTAAAAATAGATTTATGTCTGCTTATGTTCTATTTATATCTAGTAAATATATAGTTATTGCTGCCTTAAGAATACTTATGTTTATGCCTGCTCAGGTTATAATTATATTTTTATGTCTGCCCGAGTCATGATTATTATTATGTCTGCTAAGGCACTAATATCTATCATGTCTATATCTGTTAGGGTAATATTATATTCAAGTCGGCTTAGTAAATAATAATAATAATAATAATAATAATAACAATAATAATATTAATAATTATTATTATAATAATAAAAGTAATAATAATAACAACAACATTATTGTTACTGTTACGATTTCTCACTTTGTCTAATTTGTAATTTATTGACCATGTAGCGAGTATATGTTTAATTGATGCGTTATATATAAACTTTAAAGAAATAAAAAGGGACATTTAAGGACAAAACAGTTCACAGGGACTGATAGACAGAATTGTGTCAGCTGCGGTCATTCACTTTACTTTAATATACAATAATTATGTCTTAGTCTGTATAGACGGAGGACAATCTAGGTCACTGACCGCTGTGATAGATGAACAATCCAATCCCTCAGTTGAAATTCAAATGTCATGTGGACAATAGACGGTTGTCTTTAAGATATACTTAAATCTATTAGTTCCTTACAATTCTGGTATGTTTTTTGGTGAGAGTGTTATTTTTGCGTACTGGTGTATGTTTTTCTATGGCCGGTATTTCTTTGTTCGAATGTGAGGCGTCTTGAAAGAGTGTCTTAAAAAAACTTGTCCAGGTCATCTAGAACTGGAACAAAGTTAATTTATTCGACCGGCATTAGGGTGAAAGGTAATTAGGACTTGGTCATTTGTGTGTGTTAGTTACAGATTAGGTTTCCACGGAGAAAAAAAGATAACAATTATTTATTTCTCTCCCCCTTCCCTTCCTGTATTTCTTTTTCGAGAAATAGGTCGGATGTCGGGAAAAAAATCGGATATTGGGAAATAGGTCGGAAGATATCAATAGACTAGGAAGCTCTATTGAGAAATAACGATAGCTAAAAAGTATTTTTGATCAGACTTATAGTTCATTTTCAACTTCAGTTTAGATATACATGTACGTAACTTAAACATTACCAATCTAAACAATTTTTCTATTTTATTTTCTTTTTCATGAAATGCACACAAAGCCTATATGTTTTCACAGCGGCCTGTATGTTTGAATGATAAAATATAAGATGATAAAAGTATTGATTATAAAGGCTTTTAAAGCAATCTATTATCAAAATTAAATATTACCAAAGTATTTTGTCTACAATTTTGAATATCTGTTCAAACACACCTATTATCGCAATCTTGACGTGCGAGATAAAATGATTTTAGTCAAAATTTATATCATCAATTTCAAGCGCAACTTTTCGGTCCTTTCCCTCAACTGACGAAATAATCCATATGTCCTGACAGTTCCTTAAGTATATAAATAAGGCTGTTTCCAGTCACATAGACCCTTATTTTCTTTTTCTATGTGACTTCATGTACATAACGAATTTTACGCTCAATTTTTACATTTTACAATTATTTTGTCTTTTCAGGTAGAGTACTTTAAAGAAAAGCATCGACTGTATGGCCGAGTTTTTAAAACTAATCTGTTTGGAAAGTCAATAATTAGACTTTATGGATCGGACAATATACAAAAGATAATCCAAGGCGAGAATAAAATAGTCCGTTCGTCATACCCTACGTCTGTGCTGAAGCTCGTCGGATCACAGTCCATCACCATGAGTCATGGCGAAGCTCATAAATCCAAGAAACGAGAACTGATGAAATATCTGAGCCCCGAGTTCTTCCACAATCACACACCCGTGCTTGCGAGTGCTATCTCCGGTCGCATAGAACGATGGTGCGACCAACCGGAAATAGATTTATATGAAGAATGCCAGAAACTGTTTGTTGAACTCGCCGCCAAGTTTCTTATCAATATTGATATAGATGAAGCAGACGTCTCAGAATTACAGCGCCACCTACGTACATTTACTGACAATATGTTTAGCCTTCCCCTTGACATTCCAGGATTTGGGCTGAATAAGGTAAGACTGACTTCATTTATCGCAATACTATCATTGTAGGATACATATACTAAGAACTAAGTTCAAATGATTGTACCGATTTTATTCATACATAGAGATCTCATAAGATAGATGCTGGCTTCATTTGATTTTTTTTCAATTAAAACCAAGCACTGGAACTATTCAACCTTTTTTGAAAATAGTATTTTGATTATTATTATTATTATTTATTTATTTTTATTTTTTTATTTTTTTTTTTTTGATTTGAGAAAAGATAATTTTAATCTTATTAATTTTTCTGTTTTAGGGCATGAAGGCAAAGTTTGCTATGCGGAAAATTATTGCAGCCGCACTCGAGAAGTCTGCAAATAATAACGACGTCGAAAGGGAGTATTGTTCTGTTCTTCAAGGTCTAAAAAAATCAAACAGCTCTCACTTCGAAGATGAAGTTGTTCTGCTCGATTCTATAATAGATCTTCTCTTTTCTGGATCACAGACCGTGAACTCGGCCGGATTTTCCCTCGCACATACGCTTTGTAAAAGACCGGATGTACGGGAAAGATTAATGAAGGATATTAAATCACAGGGCTTGGAGAATCCTGATGAGACAATATGCGCCAATGACTTACCGGAAATGACGTATGTGGATGCAGTTGTCAAGGAAACACTAAGGGTACTGCCTCCAGTGGGTGGAGGCTACAGAACGGCCCTTGAAACATTTGAACTTGATGTAGGTAGCAGTGGAAAAACACTTTTTTGATATTCCAAGAATACTTTTTAAAATAAAAAAAAATGCTTATATAAAGTGTTCATTATATCGTAGTTTACTTTAGAAATAGATATAACATTTTTTGCAATTAATAATTTAACTTCTCTTTCATCAGTCTTACTTTTCTTTCTTTTCAATATTATTTACATCAGTCTTACTTTGCTTTTCGTTTCAATGTTCTTATTTTTATTAATATTTTGATTACAGGGATATACAGTTCCAAAAGGATGGTCGGTCGTTTTTAGTATTAGGGAAACTCATATGAATGACGATAAAGTTCAAAATCCACGTGTGTTCAACCCGGACCAGTGGCTGCAGCCAACGTTCGGCAAAGATAAATACTCTTTCTTGCCATTTGGGGGTGGCACTAGGATATGCCCGGGACAAGCATATGCAAAGATGATCTTAAAACTCTTTGCAATAGAATTTACACGTTGTTGTTCCCCTTGCATATCCAAAGATAGTGACTTGAAGTTTTGGCCAACACCAAGCCCAGAGAGCCAGGTACTGGTGAAGATATCGAAAGCTTAAACATTTAATAGACCTATTATCAAAAAGGGACATGCACTGGAGCCATGACAATAAAGCTGTTTCCGGTAGTCTGTGGCGTCAAATTACATGAATGTGTTTATTTAAAACGTACATTATCATCTTATATTTGAATGGTTAGAAAACCATAATTTTGTAACCAAAAACCCGGTGACATTTACTGTATCTGTGATATTAATAACATTGTATGTAAATGTATACATACATGTACGAAATGACCTAAAATAATCTAACTTATTTAAGATAACAGTTGTATAAATAGACATATTATGTTACCGCTTGAGGTATATATATCAACAAGATTGATAAGTAGAATAGAGGTACATTTGTACTTTAAAGTAAGTAAATTTCCATGTAAATAGGGAACGCGTAGGCTCAAGTATTTCATATTTTGTACGCTTACATTTATGTTACGTTCAAGATAAAACAAGTTGTCGTTTACATTCTTGCAATTAGTTTAAGTTGTTTTTAATACATTTATTTGCCTACAATCTAATTAATGATATTTGAATTCAGTGTCTCGTTAGGGAAAGAATTGTTAATGCTGACACTTTTTTGATTGTTGTTGACAAAAAGTTGTTGTTTTTCATTTTCCATTCTTTTTTAAAACATTTAATGACATTTTTATCAAATAAAAAAAATGATTTTGACAGAAAAAAATCGCTCAATGTGTTCAAACGTAATTGGTATTAAATGAGCATAACAGTTATTCTTTCCAGTAAAGCAATTCGCCTCCAGCTTAATGTCACATTTAATAAAATATACATCCTCAAAGGAAAAAAAGTGTATTTTTTAGATTTTTAAATAAAAAATATCGATAGAAATTAGGATTTAAAAAAGTGCCCATTTTCCGTCAATAACGGAATAGAAATATGGTGATAAGAAGTTGTTAATTCTGTATATAGTTCACATACAACTGAACACTTACTGTATTTTTCTATTATTTTTAGTATACTGGTCTGACGTACAGTACAGTACGTATAAGTACAGTACTCCGACAATGTATTTAAACACAATTATATATTTTATTATGTTAAAATTAATAGTGTCATATTTTTGATGAACTCTGACTGACTTAACATATTTCACATAGTGACCTATCAGCGACCTGTCATCTATAAAGATAAATGATTTGTTATTGTAGATAACTTTCAAACTCTCAATAGCGGTCCGTCTTTTTGAAAAATGAAAGATTGTCTTTACAAAACGTCTGAACAGAGACTATTAAACATCTTTGTTTTATTTCAAACATAAATTGTTTGTCTTCGTTGTCAGTTTTTATGCCAATAGTCTGTAAGCAATGATGGATTTTTAGGAAGATTTCACTGCATATAATTATGCCAACACACGTATAATTATATAATGAGATAATGGTAATGATAATTTAATTATTCTTTGCCATTATTTATACATGTATAGTTTCATCAGTATAAAACATAAAGCATGGTTTCTTTAATTTTAGTTTTAGATGAAGCAATGCTTAATAGGAATCCATTTCATTTTTTTCTACTTATAACTTTATAAACGTTTTACGATTTATTGCCATACTCTTTATTGAGCTGTAACTAATGTACATGTATTTATTGTATGTGCCATATTACTTTTACATTTTAAATAGACAACTCCATGAATTACATTTTGATTGTTCATAAAATAAATGTATTCAAAATCAAAAGGTTTTAGTTTTCTTGATATCAATTTTTTTAAATTTATTCCACTTCCGTCTTGCAGGACATCCAAATTTCAATTTCAGCGTCCTGCCTAAATTGTTATTGCCGCCGACTCCGAAAAAGTTGGGTCAGTGACGTTGGTTTTTCCGTATCTGGAAACTATGACGTCATCTTACGGATGCCTGTTTAAAACAGGTGCTCAACTCAGTTGATCAAATTGGCTTGCGCGTCAATATAATATTATAAACGATTTTGTGTGATATAGCTAATACTGAACGACGTTTGATCAAAATTTTAGGTATATTTCTGTGTAATGAACACATCGCTCAAAATAAAATTAGCAGTGTTTAAGCATAGTTATCATTAATAATTTGAACCTTTTAACTAGGTACCATAAACAGCTAAAAGTCGCAGAATACTGTCCTATTAGAAATAGGAAATGTTCAACTATTTATGAACACAGCTTCTGGTGAGTTATTTCTGAACATTTTTATCAGAAATAGGAAACGTCCAACTATTCATGAACACAGCTTCAGGTCAGTTATTTCTAAACATTTCAATTAGAAAAAGAAAATGTTCAACTATTCATGAACACAGCTTCTGATCACTTATTTGAGAACATCTCTATTAGAAATAGGTCAGTTGTTTGTATATTGTTCAACAGGTTGTAAACACAATTGAGGGAAAAAAACTCTGTTATTGATGGACTTTGACTTTTTTTTTAACTTAGATTGTTAAATGTACGGAAAACAATGCACTTCAAAGACGCACATACATTTACACTGGTTGTACAACATTAATCACCAGTACAAATGCAAATATATATTATTACATTATATCAACTTCAAGGTTAATTCTGCCAAATATTGATCATTTAATGATGTTTTAGCCTAATAAAATTAGATTTAACAAAAAACATCACGGGTGCTCCCAATGCTCAAAGTATGGAGGGAAAATTTTCAAGGTAAGACATATGAGCAGCGTCATGACAAAACAAACATAGTACGTTTGCGACCAGCATGGATCCAGACCAGCCTGCGCATCCGCTATCAGTTTCTCTACTTGCTATAGGGTTTGTAAGCGAACAGCATGGATCCTGATCAGACTGCGCGGATGCGCAGGCTGGTCTGGATCCATGCTGGTCGCCAACCCATTATGTTGGTTTTGTCATGACGAGGCTCATATATTAAATAAAATCATCATATCGTCGTTGTCGTCGTTGTCATCGTTGTCGTCGTCGTAGCAGCACTAAGCAGTCGCAGCAACAACAGTAGAAATCAACGGCAAATATATTTAATGCACATTTTTTGTTATTTCACGAAATAAATCATAAAACAAAGTTTAATTACCCATGCTAACATACATAGAAAACGTTACAAAAAGTGAACCATTCATTTTGGCAATAAATGTATACAAATTATTGTCATACACGGAATGTTTATACACATTTGCATGTTTTTATTATACAATTTCAAAGACTGTACAGTATAATGTACAGTGTAAAGATACCAGCCTTCAAGCATGATTTGCATTATATACAAGCTATTGTGTTCTGTTAAATAGGGAGATACGCCGCAGGTCGTTGAGTTTGACTAATTTGTATCGAATATTCGTTTGGAAGGTCATTTTGCAAAATATAAATACATAAATTATTAGGTTCTAAACTTGATTATACTTTTTCTATTAAATTCGTCTAGCACTTTAGAAAATAAAAATATCAAGGTTTGTAGATTAATATGACAGCTATTTACGTAGACACTCTAGCATTCACAAAGTAACTTTTGCCATGAAAATATATTTAACATATATATTAAATATACAAAAGTAGACTACAAACTAATTACAAAAAATCCCTTAAAGGCAGATTATGCTTAAGAAACAAAGGAATTTTTACATCTTTAGAAATGGCAAACATGAATTTTGTATAAAAAAAAAAGCATTTCTGAGGCATACTGGGCCTTTAATAAACAATATTCATATTCTAATGTAAGTGTTCACTCTTTAACAAAACATCAAACAACAAGCAATTATTAAAGTATTTCAAGCAATTTAAAACTCCCCTACCGGTTATATATTGTTATATTTGCTATATTTTAAGTCTTTTTGTTTTGCAACCAATTTTTTTTACATAGGAAGTAAAAAAAAGATGTGCATAATCTCCAGACTGCAATCTTCCAATATGTCAAGTTGCAACTTTGTGCGTTATCTAGTTTTTGTGTTATATTTGCCATATTTTAAGTTTATTTGTTGTCATAGCAACCAAAGTTTTCAACATAGGAAGAAAAAAAAGATATGTAAAATCTCACCTGCATGAGATAAGAGATACATAGACTCCAGTAATTCGAACCCATTTGAGCCGCGCCATGACAAAACAAACGTAATGGGTTTGCGACCAGCATGGATCCAGACCAGCCTGCGCATCCGCGCAGTCTGATCAGGATCCATGCTGTTCGCTATCAGTTTCTCTATTTGTAATAGAGTTTGTAAGCGAACAGCATGGATCCTGATCAGACTGCGCGGATGCGCAGGCTGGTCTGGATCCATGCTGGTCGCAAACCCATTATGTTGGTTTTGTCGTGACGCGGCTCATTTATTCGTTTCTTAAAATTACACAGGGACCAGCGGTGGCTGAAGTAATGATGTCTCAACTCTCAGTCCCAAAGGTGGGGGGTGTCGTAATAATATAAAAAATAACTATAATAACGATGTTAACCACATTGAAACATGCAGATAACTAGTCCGGAAACAAAATTCGGACGGACGGATGGACGGACGGAAGGAAGGACGGACGGACGGACAACGCCAAAACAATATCCCCCTCCCGATTCCATCGGCGGGGGATAATAACGATGTAAACTACATTGTAACATGGTACCAATATAACTGTAGAAATATAAAAATTATGCGCATAATACATGAATAATTTTACATAATGATACGTTAAATACGCAGTACTTAAACTTAATTAATAACACTTAGTTTTAAATGAGCTCTCTAGTTTCATTACGTTTTTCTTTTTGGGCTTATTTATGGGAGCATCTGCTCTAAACTTGATTATAAAATACAAAGCATGTCAATGCATATAAATTATCGTATGGATCAATACAAATCCTATTAATATTGCTGAATGCAAAAAAAGAGTGTATAGTAAACAAGAATCTCACACTTTCCCTTAACACATCTAACCGTAAAGCATATACTTTATTCTATAAACCAATTTTTCGAACCGTCCTCGATGAGGGTAAGTGACGACCAATACAACAACAACAACAACATTTATTCAGCATAAAGCAATATCTAACATCACTTCTAGCCTACATATTAACATCTGTAGTAGTTACACATGAAATATAAACACTACCATAAGACAAAAGAAAAGTCACAAATAAACAAGAACAGTAATTTAAGAGAGAAACATGTTTTGTATAACCAGAAATGGTACAAAATGTAAAAAAAGGAGAAGTAAAATGTATGAAATAATAAATATCTTCAAGAAAACTAGGGGAAAGCTGATAATAAGTTATTCAAGTTCTTTTCGAAGTTTATTTGCAAAGTATATGTATTTCGAGAGATTTGCTATTTCTTTTGTCTTTTTTGTCATTATCAATGATCAAATTTATTTAAAGATGGCGCCATGTATAATAATTGACGTCGCAGATATAATATCTGTCTAATATTGGTATATGGCGGTTAAAAGGATCGGAATATCCGTTCAATCGAGTTTGATTACAATTACAATTCTTTCATTGGGCTTATTACGAGGGCTTGCCGATGTTACTCGCTCATGGGGCGGCGTGACCAGAGGGAAACGTTAGGCTATTAATCTTTGATCCGAACCGCAAAAACATATGATTCAGATATGAATGTTTAAATCTTGCATAATTCTACCATATGTCTCATGTGATATTTTAAATTCACTGTACCAAAACTGGTATTTTTCAAAAATTCTTGTTAATACATTTATTATCATTACAACCGTAAAACTACTTTCATTCAACAGCGTATGAATTACAAAATCATTCATAACGGTAAAATGACGTCATCTTTATCGTGCCATTGTACAGCACGCGACTCATCTGGAACCCCCCATGCCAGATGAAATTTCCGGCATGGGTAAAACTAACGGAAACGCCAGTCTGATATGCAAGAAATTTCTTTCTAATATTTGAGTATAATGGACAAGTTAATAGGAAGTGATATTCGTTTTCAATCATATTTAGATTACAAAATTGACATATTTTACATTATTATTTCACTGTACCAAAACTGGGTATATTGATCAAAAATTCTTTGTTTAATAGCATTCAATATATATAATACATATATATACATATATATACATAGATTCTTGACCTGTCCAATTCTAATTATTAGATTAGTGGATACAATAAAAATTTAACCACAACGAATGTGTTAACAATAGAACACATGTCAATTAATTCTTATTCAAATGAAAAGTCAGAGTAAGGATTTTTCATTCCTTTTTAGATGACTCCACTTTAATATCACATATTTAACTGTTAAGGGGAATTAATAACAACAAGTTCGTGACATATGAGTAACACAGTGCCGTCCCTTCTTTCTTGAAGACTTCTTTCAATGAAAATAATTGAAAAGTGTACATTCTTATAAATACAGGCAGGTGAACTAATTCAATATTTAACTACATAACTATATTGTCAACTGCCGTAATTGGAGGACGGTTTCAGTGTTAAGATAGTTTCCACAAGTCCCTATCAATCAAATTACATATTAAGAAAATAAACAGGACAATAATCTTTTTTTATTTTGTATTCTTCATTTTTAACTTTTTTTACATTTAAAATATCTTCATAATTATACATTATTTAATTCGAGACGAGAAATCCAATATACGATGAAATTTTTTATCTCGAACTAGCTTTTGCTCTACTGTGAGTATACATTTTTACTCATAAGTGATCGTGCTAAGGTTTTTAAAATAATTTTAAATTGAGGATCTAGAAGCCCAAAAACAAATGGGTTGATCACGTGGTTTATGAAATATAAACGTAAGCAAAAGAAATAAGCTACTTTTCCGCCGTCGTTCAGATACTGTATGATGTCCGCTGGACTAGCGATCAATATGACCAGTACAAAATACAAGCATATTGTGATAATAAATGTTAAAGTTAGAATGAACATAATCAGTGTTTTCCTTTTCACTCTTAGTGGAATCTGTCTTTCAAAGGAAAGTTTTTCTTCAGTAATACTTCTGTCGTTAGATTCTTGGTTTGTTTCCATCGGCTTGTCTTTTGCTGTTTTGGAGTCCATACAAGTAGAATTGGATATTTCCACCGGATGCTCATTGACTGAATCCCTATTGTTGTCGCTGTATTCTTCGCGACTTCCGGTGACGTCATGTTCTGTTTGTAAAACATTTGAACAATTATTGACCATAGGCAAGTTAGAGCCTATCCTGTGATGGCGGCTTTTGAAGAGTTCCCTGGCAACGAAGACGTACTGTACAAACATTATTATCAGTAATATATGAACAATTCCACACACTGTAGAAATGTAGCCTATAGGATATTCTGTTGTCTCAAATTCAGCATCTTTTTCGCAGAGTGTTACTGTTAAAGTAACATTTTTATACACATGTGTGGCCGACCGTACTCCCCAAAGAAATGCAACTGGAAGGGCTAGAATAAATGCAACGATAAAATGTATGCCGCACAAGTATTTTGCAACTCGGGGTTTAATTTGCCAGCTGAATGGTCGGCATACTTTCCGATATCGATCTAAAGCGATCGTGAGCAAACACAGAGCTTCCGCGATAACCGTGAACACGTTAAAGAACGATTTGATTTTGCAAACTACTCTTTCTGGATACGTGTACCAGTAAAGTTGAGTGACCATTTCTCCCGACATCGTAGTTATACAACATGTTACATCTATAAAAGCAAGACATAATGCAAAATATTTAAACGTGCAAACGCGATAATGTCTCAAGAACACGTAAATCACCAGAACGTTTCCAAAGAAACCAAGCACAGTTTCAATTCCAACTATTACAGTAACCGGTAGAACAGTTTTTGCAAACTTTTCACTCAGCTCATCAAGTAACCTCTCAGTATCATTTTCCATTGACATCCGTTTCTTTTCGATTTTTTTTCTGTTTTATCACTTTATAATAGCACAATTTATGTTTGAATTATTGTTAATGTTCATACAAGTGTTCTGTATGAACTGTGCAGGGATATTGACGTTTAGGCGTAATAAACACGAAGGAAGTTTAATATAACGCTTGTTATCAGCAGAGTCCTTAGTTACTAAACAATTAAACAGGAAAAATGTAATAAAGTTGCTGTTGCTACGTCAATATGTCCTGGATGGGAATACCCGTTATGTTTTGTGACGATTCGTGCTAAGTGAGTAGAGATTGTGTTACAAATTCTTCATACTTTATTATCTTAAATGGGGGAAAATCTTTATTAACCTAGATCCTGTAAGATAACAATTCTTAAGAACATAGCACGCCATCCGCAATGGTTTTTTTCCCGGGATGTCTATTTATATTTAATTTACTCCCTTTATGTACAAAGCTCGAAAACTGTTTGTAGGCTCCTGTGGGGTTAACTAAATTCGGAATATCTCTCTTAAAAAAAAAGAAACAATAGCTCTATCGTTCAGGAAAAAGTTTATTTTACATAAAGAACAAAAAAATCCGGATACTCGGCTGACGGCAATTAACACTATTTTTGGAAATGCTAATACTTGTACTTCTTACCCTTTTTAAATGTATATTAACTTCGTGTTCCTACTTGCATCAAGTGCTATCATCCATTGAAAAAAGTATATAACATATCTTAGATATTATGAATATTACATGTACAATGTATGTTATTGTCACTTTTAATGAGCAAACATATACTTCTTGGCGATTTTTTATTGTGCTTTGTTGTATAAGAGGATATATCTTCGCATATATATATATATATATATATATATATATATATATATATATATATATATATATATATATATATATATATATATATATATATATATATATATATATATATATATATATATATATATATAATCAAATCTACATCGTCGATTTTGACATCATATGATGGAGTTTATTTGTCTGAAAGATTCAATTCCACTGCTGTCACCGATTGTCATACTTTCGTGAGATTGTTCCTTTTTCTTATGTGATTTCACATTCATTGTACAATTGTACAATGTATACAAATTGACGTAACGTTTGAATAAAATTCAGCAGAGCAGATTTATTGACAGTTATCCGGTACAAATTATTTAATTGTCGCGGACTTTCTGAAATTTTGCATCACTTTCTTGAACCTTGGGTCCAGTAGACCATATACAATCGGGTTGATCACGTGGTTGAGAAAATAAAGGCGGAAAAAGAAGAAATACACCGCTTTATCGCCATTGCTCATATCTTGTAAAATATCGTCTGATCTTGCTATGAAGGAAAGTAATGTTAGGTACAAGATCGTTGTAGCAATGAATATAAGTGTAAGGATAAACATAATGAGTGTTTTACGTCTAACTCTGGAAGAAATGTTCATTTTTTGTCGCGATTGTCGTGGAGACTTTGGGGATTGGCGCGCTGTGCTTGGTAGGCCGTGCTTTCCTTGTGTCGGTATTTGAAGGGTTGTACCAAGTTCTTTAGAATCAGTTTCGTCGTCAGACGTGACATTCGGGATTTTACGATCATTTCTTGGTTGTCCATTCATATCCAAGAAGGAACTGATGCCGGTATCACTAAATTCTGTATGAGAATTTACGGTGATGGCGTCACAAGAGAAATCAGTTTGTGACGTGGTTGCTGGCGTAACCACTACAATTGGTGGATTAACTTTAGCTTTCTTTCTCTTTTGCTTTTCTTTTATATTTAATATATTACTGTGTCCCATGCGATTGTCATGGTCATCATCAACTGGTGTCATTGAAACTTTACTTTCCCTGCACTTTGAATTTACACCTTTCGTATCATTGTCGTGCTCTAGATTACCTGATGTAGGAGCTTTTTCTCTCGGAGAAGTGTCCGTTTCACTAACTTCCTGTGCTGAAGTCATTTCGATCGGATTGCTTGAATTTGGAGGAGAATAATGTTTTCCCGCATTTACACGAAACCGCTTGTTTTTCAAAAGTGCTCTAACCACAAATACATACAATACAAACATTATAACTAAACATATTGATATGATAACCTCCATAGCTACAGAATACTGTAGATGGTGGTTAGTTTCTAGCCATTTCTCATCTTTTTCACATACAGTTACTAATATTGTTTGGTTTTTATATACCATTTCCTTGCCGTGTGTTCCCCAAAGGATGTACACAGGGATAGCTAATATGAATGCAATTATGTAAATCAATCCACAAATAATAATAGCATGCTTTGGTTTCATTTGATGACCCAGAGGTCGACAAATTTTCAGATATCTGTCCACGCCAATTGTAAGTAGACACAGAGCTTCAGCGGACACAGTGAACATATTAAAGAAGGACTTGATCTTACACAATTCCGGTACTGGATACACGTACCAATAAAGCTGTGTCACCATCTCTCCAGGCATCGTAGTCAAACTGCTTGTAAGATCGGTAATGGCTAAACACAAAACAAAGTAACGGAAGTTACAGACATGGTATCGGAACAGGAACACGTAGATCACAAATATATTTCCAAAGAAAGCCGCGATCACCTCTATCCCAACAAAAATAGTTACAGGAAGTACAGCTCGTGTCATTTCATCATTTAAATCCTCTGCAAGTTCCATATTGTAATCACTAGTATTCACCTGTTTGAAATACCCCATTGTTACCATATAATTATGTAACATTATTCGCGGCTGATCATGTTATTTCTATAATAATTTCATTAACGTTTTGACAAATAGTTCTAAAAATATGAAAAGTTACATTTAAAGCACTTTTGAAATGGATTATTGATATATATTTGTTTGCTTAAATAACTGCATTTATTGATAACATTTTCATTCTAGATAGATACCCGGCGTTTAGATCCTGTTTAAAAACTAAAAAAAAAACATTTATTGATAACATTTTCATTCTAGATAGATATCCGGCGTTTAGATCCTGTTTAAAAACTAAAAAAACTATGTCTGAAATGTTGTTAAAGTTTGTTATTGTTAAAAGTATTTCTATTTCTTGAGGTTTCGTGTATGAATATAAATAAAACTTTTCAAATGTGAATATATTTTCACAGTACATGATGAAGGAAGTTGAGATAGTTGACTTGCTTTTATTATGAGTTTTATATTTTTACACAAGAAGGAAGTACAAATGAATGTTAATTTTCTCCACCCATATTAATAACGTATATCGATAAATTACCCATTAGCAAAGGTTTAACTTTTTTCTCATGAAACTCCAAAATCTGTATAGTACATACACAAGTGTTTTTTAAATCAACAGTATGCGTTTGGTGGCGGTACGGGCGAAAAACTACATGTATGTATTAAAACTTGTCATATCTTTTCATTAACTATGAATAATGCCGAATAAATAAATTTCGACTTTATGTTGCGTTTTAGTGACTTTCAAATGAATACCTCAGTTTAATTTTAATTTAAACATATTTTATTGCATTAAATACATGTTTACAAACATATCATACAAATAATGAGTATATATCAAAATGCAAATGGGTTGGGCAACAAGTTCTTACAACATTAGATTAAGCCCTTCCCAGAAATTAATATTACAGAAGAAAATACTTTTAAGGCAACAATGATTACTTTTAACATGCATATAAACTTTAAAATATGTATTTTATTTTTGAACAGTTCATTTATTCATTAAAATTTAATGTACAATTTTGATTTTGAAGTGCGATCCATCCACAGGTTGCCATCCTGATCTCACTGTAGTTGTTAAAATAGTTGAAGTTTGGCTTTTGGGGAAAGATTGGTAATGAATATTTGTTATTTAAGTAAGTTAGATTAGAGCAAATAAGCCAATATAAATGACAACTTTTAGAATAAAAACAAAATGAAAAGTCAAATATTATTAAAACGATGGGTCGTCTTAATAAATTTTTGAACTGATTCGAAAATGACAACGTTATCTTCGTATTCTAAATTTTCACGACCGAACAATAATGTATCAATGTTTAATTGATGATAAGATCTAAGACCTCATTTGTACCTTCGTGTATAATGTCAGGCATCTAAGTAAAAACGCCGACCTGCCGTAAGCTATTTTGGCTAGCTTCCTCACATTCCAATGACGGGATTCAAACTCACATAGATAAGGGACAAAAGGGCCAATGCCAACGATCATAGAACACTCGGCCATGGATGCCCCTGCATTTGAAGGCTAGCTTCCTCACATGCCAATGACTTAAAGTTAACATAAACTCGGAAAATCTTTTTGCGATATTCGTGAAGATTTGCAAAAATTTTACGGAGAGGCTGCACTGTCAAAAGGTGCCATTTCAGAGTGGATGAAACTGTTTAAAGCCGGTAGGGAGGCAACTGAAGACGACAGTCGTGCAGGTAGACCAGTGACTACAATAGATGAAGAAACAGTGGCTGCCATTCAGGAGTACATACTCCGAGTAAGTGTGGAGCACGTAGTAGATAAGTTCGCTATTTCATATGGTACACCTCAGGGCATTATAACAGATAGATTAGGAATGCGCCGCGTTTTAGCAAGATGGATGCCTCGTTTGTTGACGTCGGAGCAGATGGTGGTAAGGGTGAAAATGTGTCAGCAGTACGACAGGAGGTATCGTGAAGAAGGAGATTACTTTCTAAATCGAGTGATAACATGTGATGAAACGTGAATTCACTTTTTTGAACCGGAAAGCAAACGTCAGAGTTCTGTCTGGAAGCATCCTTCCTCGCCTTCCCCTACAAAAGCGATAATTTCCAAGTCAGCCGGGAAGGTTATGGCCATTATATTCTGTGATACATACGGTGTAGTGCTAAACCACTTTGTTCCTCCGAAAACGACAGTCACTGGGAACTATTATGCAACATTACTTAGAACGGAACTCATGGCGGCAATAAGGAGAAAACGCCCACATCTACTTAGGTCCGGATTCATATTACATCACAACAACGCGCCGAGCCATTCAAGCCTCGTTGTCATGGATACACTAGAAAAACTCGCCGTTGAACTGTTACTGCACCCACCCTACAGCCCGGACGCAGCAATTTGTGACTTCTTGCTGTTTCAAACTTTAAACAAATCAGTCTTCGTGGTACGAAATTTGATTCAAGATGTGCCGTGGACAGACAGCTGTGGGAGATGTCAAAAGTGCATGGGACGTTACATTGAAAATGAGTTATCATTTTAGGTACTTAAATTAAATAATTTCCCCGCTACTGAATTAGTTTACGAATTTATTGATGCACCCTCGTAATACATAAATAATTTAACATAATGATACGTTTTAATGACAACATAATACGCAGTACTAAAACTTAATTTATAACACTTATGAGTTTTAAATAAGCTGTCTAGCTTCATTACGTATTTCTTCTTGTTCATAAGAGCATCTGTTTTAAACTTGTATATGAAATACAGAGCATGCCAATTCATATGATCAATACAAATCCTATTAATATTGCGGAATGCAAAAAACAAACAACACACCCCTACACACAAAAACAACAAGAAAAACGCGAATCTGAAAACATCTAACCGTAGAGCATGCATGTGCTTGTTTTCTATAACCCTTTTTTTCGAACCCTAATCGATTAGGAGCAACTGATTTCGAGTAAGTGACCAGCAACAGACGCCATATGTTAAATGACGACCTTCACAAAAACTATAAAGGGCAATTAATTATAACAAATTCATGACATATGAGTTACACAGTGCTGTCCCTTCTTTCTGACGCTTTTAAATGAAAGTAATTTACAGTTGATTAATTAAAAAGCATGCATAAGTAGTGTACATAATTATAAAAAATATAACACAAACAGATGAACTAACATTGGCCTTAACTACGTAACTATATTGTCAACCAGGAATGCCGTAATTGGAAGACGGTTTCAGTCTATACAAGTCCCTATCAATTAAATTACATATTAAGGAAATAAACAGGACAATTCTCTTTATTTTATGTTCTTCATTTTAAATTCGTTTTTTTTTTTTCACTTAAAATATCTTCATAACTATACACTATTTGGAATATTATGAGACATTCGAGACGCAATGAAATGTTTTTTCTCGAATTAGCTATTACTCTACTGTGAGTATACATTTTTACTCATAAGTGATCGTGCTAAGGTTTTTAAGATACTTTTAAATTGTGGATCTAGAAACCCAAAAACTAATGGATTGATTACGTGGTTTATGAAATATAAACGTAAGCAAAAGAAATAAGCTACTTTTCCGCCGTCGTTCAGATACCGTATGATGTCCGCTGGACTAGCGATCAAATTTGACCAGTACAAAATACAAGTCTATTGTGATAATAAATGTTAAAGTTAGATAGAGGATATTTGTTTGTTTGTGTGTAAGATGAAATTTTATTTCATCGAGTGGGCTTTAAAAACAGTATTCTCACGAGTGGCGTAGCCACGAGTGAGAATACTGTTTTTAAAGTTCACGAGATGAAATAAAATTAAATCTTACACAACAAACAAACAAATTTTCTTTTTATTTTATGCTAAAAAACAATTAAAAACAAAATTTCTATAATATAAACGTAAATATTAAAATCGGTTTTCCCCATTGAGAGCCCCATTTAGTCGGAATTTCTCATTAAAAACAAGAAGTCTTGAGCTGTAAAATAAGTCCGACAATCAACGTTAAATGACAGTGATATTATTTATTTTGTTAAAAAAATATGAATGATCGCTTGTTTTAATAATAAAAACAAACAATTCTTGTAGGAGAAAAATTCCAACCATCCATCCATATTTCTGTTACTTACTGCGTATTTATATTAGACCTGACTTTGTTAAATGTAAGCGGCAGCCATTTTTTAAAGTTGTGTATTTCACGGGAGGAAAATAATTGTGTTTGATTCAGAGGGATATCATTTGGATTTGTTAGTCATACACCTTTTTAAAAGAAAGAAAACATATTTGAGGATTGAAACAGGCAAAAAATAAGTGTTGACAGATGTGAAAACATGAAAAAAGCAGCTATGAAAATGGAAAACTTGGAACTTGCTCGGAACGCTGGGTGGTTTAATTGTTCTACGAGGTGATAGCTGTCATTGGCATTGCTTTCCAATTTTTCATAAAGCATACAGCAGTTATTGCTCGTAGGATACTTTAATGTGCCCAAATGTCATCAAGAGCAGTTGGCATGCCCCCCCCCCCATGATGTGGAAGGAATGTATTTGTCAGACTGTAAAAATGAAACAAAAAATTTAGAGATGAAATTTGGTGATTGGAATTTGAATGAATAGAAGTAAGTTTTCTTCTTTTTATTACTTTTGACATTTAAGTTGATTATCAATTTCAGCTTTGCGTTTTCTTTAAACAGCCTGACACTGTCAGAATTGTTAGCAAAAATAAAATTGAGGTACCACATGGGAAAAATCTAAAAAAAAGTACTTTCGTCATTGAAAAGTGTGACATTATATTTTGATAATTTTCACTGTGAAATTATCAAATATAATTTTCACGGATAAATCAGTAATCCACTGAAAAGCATAAAATAAAATGAACATAATCAGTGTTTTCCTTTTCACTCTTAGTGGAATCTGTCTTTCAAAGGAAAGCTTTTCTTGAGTAATACTTTTGTCGTTCGATTCTTGGTTTGTTTCCATCGGCTTGTCGTTTGGTGTTTTGGAGTCCATACAAGTAACGTTAGAATTGGATATTTCCACCGGATGCTCATTGACTGAATCCCTATTGTTGTCACTATACTCTTCGCGGCTTCCGGTGACGTCATGTTGTGATTGAAAAACATTTGAACAATTATTGACCATAGGAAAGTTAGAGCCTATCCTGTGATGGCGGCTTTTGAAGAGTTCCCTGGCAACGAAGACGTACTGTACAAACATTATTATCAGTAATATATGAACAATTCCACACACTGTAGAAATGTAGCCTATAGGATATTCTGTTGTCTCAAATTCAGCATCTTTTTCGCAGTGTGTTACTGTTAAAGTAACATTTTTATACACATGTGTAGCTCCCCATAGAAATGCAACTGGGAGGGCTAGAATAAATGCAACGATAAAATGTATGCCGCACAAGTATTTTGCAACTCGGGGTTTAATTTGCCAGCTGAATGGTCGACATACTTTCCGATATCGATCTAAAGCGATCGTGAGCAAACACAGAGCTTCCGCGATAAATGTGAACACGTTAAAGAACGATTTGATTTTGCAAACTACTCTTTCTGGATACTTGTACCAGTAAAGTTGAGTGACCATTTCTCCCGACATCGTAGTTATACAACATGTTACATCTATAAAAGCAAGACATAAGGCAAAATATTTAAACGTGCAAACGCGATAATGTCTCAGAAACACGTAAATCACCAGAACGTTTCCAAAGAAACCAAGCACAGTTTCAAATCCAACCATTACAGTAACCGGTAGAACAGTTCTTGAAAACTTTTCATTCAGCTCATCAAGTAACCTCTCATTATCATTTTCCATTGACATCCTTTTCTTTGCTCTGTTTTCTGTTTTATTATTTTATAGCACAATTTATGTTTGAATTATTGTTAATGTTCATACAAGTTTTCTGTATGAAATGTCCAGGGATATTGACGTTTAGGCGTAATAAACATGAAGGAAGTTTAATATAACGCTTGTTTTAGATATTAAACAATTAAACAGGAAACATGTAAATGAGTTTCTGTTGCTACATCAATATGTCCTGAATGGGAATACCCGTTATGTCTTGTGACGATTCGTGCTAAGTGAGAAGAGATTGCGTTCTTCATACTTTATCATCATGAATGGGGAAAAATCTTTATTGGCCTAGATCCTGTAAGATAACATGTCGATGAATCTAAACTTTATGTACCCGAGTAACCAGATTCTCTCAAGAAAATGATAAGTTACATTTGATAAACATTTACTTATTCATAAAAAATTATTACCTATATTTAATATACTATCTTTATGTACAAAGCTCGAAACCAATTTGCAGGCTCCTGCGGGGTAAACTGAATTCAGAATATTTCTCTTTAAATAAAAAAGAAGAAACATTATCGCTTTCGTTCAGGAAAGAGTTTATTTTACATAAAGAACAAAAAAATCCGGATACTCGGCTGTACGCAATTTACAATATTTTTGGAAATGCTAACACTTGTATTTCTTACATCTATACCTTTTCTAAAAACAACAAGTACTGCATGTATATTAACTTCGTGTTCCTGTTTGCATCAAGTGCTAACATCCAATGAAAATAGTAATAACATATCTTATATAATTATATAATTATAATGAATATTACATGTACAAGTGTTTTACGTCTAACTCTGGAAGAAATGTTCATTTTTTTGTCGCGATTGTCGTGGAGAGTTGGGGGATTGGCGCGCTGTGCTTGGTAGGCCGTGCTTTCCTTGTGTCGGTATTTGAAGGGTTGTACCAAGTTCTTGAGAATCAGTTTCGTCGTCAGACGTGACATTCGGGTTTTTACGATCATTTCTAGGTTGTCCATTCATATCCAAGAAGGAACTGATGCCGGTATCGCTAAATTCTGTATGGGAATTAACGGTGATGGCGTTACAAGAGAAATCAGTTTGTGACGCGGTTGCTGGCGTAACCACTACAATTGGTGGATTAGCGTAAGCTTTCTTTCTCTTTTGCTTTTCTTTTAACAGTTTCCTTGCAACTAATACATATAAAATAAGCATCAAAAGAAGACTTATGGAAACAATTACTTCAACAGTGAGCGAATATATTAGTGGATATTTCGTATTCTCGAAATGTTCATCCTTTTCACACACCGTGACATTTATTAAAACACCTTTATATACTTTTAGATGCGAATGTGTTCCCCATAATATTGCCACTGGAAAAGACAGTATAACTGCAACGGCAAATATAGCTGCGCACACGTATACAGCGGTTCTGGGCTTGATTTGCCAACCCAAAGGCTTGCATATCTTCCTGTAACGATCGAATGCGATAGTGAGTAGACACATTGCTTCGGCAGAAACAGTGAAAACATTAAAGAATGATTTTATCTTACACAGCTCACGCTGAGGATACACATACCAATATAGCTGCGTCACAATCTCTCCTGGAATCGTGGTCAAACTACTTGTGACGTCAATTATCGCTAAACGCATCACGAAATACCGGAAGTTACACACGTGATAGTGGAATGAAAACACATAGAGTACCAGTAAAATTCCGAAAAATCCGAGAACTGCTTCAAAGCCAACAAACACAGTGACTGGTAATACTGCATTTTGAAATTCTTCATTCAGCTGTTCTGTCAGTGACATATTTGTTTCTTCTGAGTTAGTGCTTTCTTGACATCATGAGCGTACATTCCATTATCAAACATTGTAGAGTTTGAATTTTTGAAATTGACTACATCCATTTCGAATTAACAATTGATATTAAATATAACAATTTATATTTACTGTTATATTACTTTAACAATTTATAATTATGCAAACAAGTTTTAAGTGTTTCAATGTATGTAGATGTAAAGAATGGACTTTTTCAAGAACAATTGACACGTTAAGTAATATATAACTGTTATTAACTATAACAAGTATTTTAGGTTATTTTTGCTCAGTACAAACAAATGGGTATCTGCTTAATAATTGATAGTAGGGATTGGTTGGTGGTAGTGTCGACACACAACTGATACAGCAACATTTCTTTTCTGTTTTTCTTTTCTTTCCTCTTCAATATTTTCATCTTAAAAATGAAAATGTATTGTTACTGAATGCATGTTTACTTTAATGTATAACTATCCTTACTTTATGAAACTGATGTTAAACATTTACAGGAAAGGGCCCACGATAATGTTGTAAAAACTTTTGGCCCAACCCTTTAGTATATTGTGTAATTTTGTTGATCTAAATGAATTGATGTATGTCTATATATGCAATAAAATATTATTAAACTAAAAAAAGTACTATATACATGTACTTTCACTTCTTAACATGTACATTCACATGTACAGCTTTCTTATAACAAAAATATACTGATTTTGATATGGAAGTAGAAACTGTGGAGCATCAAGGTTTAATTATGTCATGTTGACGGTTTTTGTTATGCCTAGCACTTTAGAAAATAAAAAAAATATCAAGGTTTGTAGATTAATATGTCAGCTATTTACGTAGACACCCTAGCATTCACAAAGTAACTTTTGCCATGAAAATATATTTAACATATATATTAAATATACAAAAGTAGACTACAAACTAATTACAAAAAATCCCTTAAAGGCAGATTATGCTTTAGAAACAAAGGAATTTACTTCTTTAGAAATGGCAAACATGAATTTTGTAATGTTTAAGAAATGGTTTTAGAGATTGTTAGATGCATGTAACCAGAAGAAAGTAACGATAAATGTGAAATAATTTGTATAAAAGTGACAAAATGTTAACAAAGTAGTACAAACACTAATTGAAAAAAGCAACAGATAAAACAGATGATTCAGGTAATTGGCAAATGAAAAACTTTTGGATACAATAGAAGTACACTTATATCAAAAAAGCTTTTGAGAAACAAAAAAGCATTTCTGAGGCAAACAATATTCATATTCTGATTTAAATGTTCACTCTTTAACAGGACATCAAACAACAAGCAATTATTAAAGTATTACAAGCAATTTAAAACTCCCCTACCCGTTACATATTGTTATATTTGCTATATTTTAAGTCTATTTGTTTTGCAACCAATGCGCAGGCTGGTCTGGATCCATGCTGGTCGCAAACCCATTGTGTTGGTTTTGTCCTGGCGCGGCTCATTTATTCGTGTCTTACGATCACACAGGGACCAACGGTGGCTGAAGTAATGATGTCTCAACTCTCATCCCCAAAGGTGGATATAATATAAAAAAAAATAACTATAATAACGATGTTAACTACATTGAAACATGATATCAATATAACTGTAGAAATGTAAATTTACATAATGATACGTTAAATTCGCAGTACTTAAACTTAATTAAAAACACTTAGTTTTAAATGAGCTCTCTAGCTTCATTACGTTTCTTTTTGGGCTTGTTTATAAGAGCACCTGCTTTAAACTTGTATATGAAATACAGAGCGTGCCAATTCATATGATCAATACAAATCCTTTTAATATTGCTGAATGCAAAAAAACAAGTGAATAGCAAACAAGAATCTCACACTTTCCTCTGAACACATCTAACCGTAAAGCATATACTTTATTCTATAAACCAATTTTTCGAATTATCCTCGATGAGGGGTATTAAGTGATTTCAAATGAACGACCAATCGACCACAGACGCCTCCTTTTTAAATGACTCCACTTTATCACATATTTAACTGTTAAGGGAGGTTAATAATAACATGTTCATGACATATGAGTAACACAGTGCTGTCCCTTCTTTCTTAAAGATTTTTTCAAATGAAAGTAATACAAAAGTGTACATTATATAATATATAGTTAGCTCATCTGTTTGAATTACACATTTTGTTTATATACAATATATATAATTCAAACAGGTGAACAAACTATGTGCCAGGGTTTCCATATTTAACTACGTAACTATATTGTCAACTGCCGTAATTGGAAGACGGTTTCAGTGTTAAGAGATTTTCTACAAGTCCCTATCAACTAAATTACAAAACTGAAGTATCTTTTTTATTTCATGTTCTTCATTTTAAACTTTTTTTTTTCATTTTAAAAATCTTCATAATTATACATTATTTAGAATAACATGAGACATTCGAGATGCGATGAAAAGTGTTTTTCTTTTTCTCTCGAACTAGCTATTACTCTACTGTGAGTATGCATTTTTACTTATAAGTGATCGTGCTAAGGTTTTTAAAATAGTTTTAAATTGTGGATCTAGAAGCCCAAAAACAAATGGGTTAATCACGTGGTTTATAAAATATAAACGTAAGCAAAAGAAATAAACTACTTTTCCGTCGTCGTTCAGATACTGTATGATGTCCGCTGGGCTAGCGATCAATATGACCAGTACAAAATACAAGCATATTGTGATAATAAATGTTAAAGTAAAAATGAACATTATCAGTGTTTTTCTTTTCACTCTTAGTGGAATCTGTCTTTCAAAGGAAAGTTTTTCTTGGGTAATACTTCTGTCGTTTGATTTTTGGTTTGTTTCCATCGGCTTGTCTTTTGGTGTTTTGGAGTCCATACAAGTAACGTTAGAATTGGATATTTCCACCGGATGCTCATTGACTGAATCCCTATTGTTGTCACTATACTCTTCGCGGCTTCCGGTGACGTCATGTTGTGATTGAAAAACATTTGAACAATTATTGACCATAGGAAAGTTAGAGCCTATCCTGTGATGGCGGCTTTTGAAGAGTTCCCTGGCAACGAAGACGTACTGTACAAACATTATTTTCAGTAATATATGAACAATTCCACACACTGTAGAATTGTAGCCTAAAGGATATTCTGTTGTCCTAAATTCAGCATCTTTTTCGCAGAGTGTTTTACTGTTAAAGTAACATTTTATATACACATGTGTGGCCGACCGTACTCCCCAAAGAAATGCAACTGGAAGAGCAAGAATAAATGCAACGATAAAAA